AGTACTTATTGCGCAGGACTTTTTTGACATCTCCTCGCTACTGAGAGTCTGTTTTGCACTGGAGCCAAGCCTCTTATTCATATTCTGCCAAACGTGTAGCACAGGAGTTGACAAGCTGTGCTTACACAGAAGGTAGATAAGAATAAATTAAATTAGATCATTGGCTTCATAGCAGATGGCGGGTTAATCCAGTTTACAAAGCGAGTTCTGAAAAAAATGCGTATATATTTGTGGATATTTACTTGAGTATGCCGCAAAATTGTGGTGACTGAGTTAATTCATCTGGAAGTATCAGTTTGTTTTATTTAAATGTTGAACGAAGTGAGCAATCTGGCCGTTTACTTCAGAGGTAAAGACCCAGGTTTTGGTTCCGAACTGGTTTCACTTACACCAGTAATGTGAAGCAACCAAAAAACCAGCCTGCGGGTAGAGAAAATCCCTTAGGCAGCACAAAGTCACCCTAGCTTTTCATCTCTTTGTTCCATGAAGGAAATTTATGGGAAGGGTAGAAGATAGAGGCCTTTAATTTATCTTTTTCTGCAGGAGATTTGGTTTATACCTAATAATTATTTTTTACCTAAGAAGCATAATAAATTAGCCAAGAAAAGCTCTTTACTATGAGTAGGATGTTCTGTATTCAAGAGAGAGGTCATTTAAAGTTACCCTGAGCAGCTCCACTGTGCAGCCTGGCCAGGGCAGGGTGACTGAGGAAGAAGCTTAGTTCCTCCATAATCCTGCGGTATCCTCCAGTCTCTGTAGCTCCACTGACTACAGACTTCTCCAAATTTAGCATCTGCAAAAACAGCCATAATGCATCTTGTAAAAAAAAAAAAAAAAAAAAAAAAAAGTATGTCCACTTTCGTGTTACAATTGTATCTGAAACTTTGAATTAAACATGGCTATCTAATAAAATATAAATGAAATATAGGTATGGTGGCATCCATCCTATAAGCTCCATCTCCAAACATTATGTAAAGAGGGTCAAATTTTGCCTTCAGATATATTTTCCTGTCTCCAGATCACCTCAGTGAACGCCATGTACAGCTCTGCTCCTGGCAGAATGCAACTTATAAATAACAGAGCAAAGTAATAATGTAATGATAGAGGGGGGGATATACTGGAGGTTCAAGCAAGCCAAGAAAGAATAGCTTTTCAGACAAGCTTTGCAGTAGGATGGAAGAACCAAAGAAACCGAGAAATCAAGTTGGAAGTTCAAGCACGCCAGGTAAAGGAGCACAGTTGCTACCAGCCAGGAGGATACTGGCACTCCCTTTTTAGACTAGAGGTTCAGTTAGGCCAAGTTGAGGGGATGTTATGGGTCCCTCATAACTTAAAGTATGAATTTTGCAATTGTGAAGCATACCGAAGCTGCTAACAAGCTGTCTGATCTCCACTTGCCTGGCAGTCCTTGGTTTTTGCTTGAAACTGTAGCAGTTCACCACTGACCTTACACACCCTGCCAGTAGCTGAGGTGGTTTACATGCTGCCAAATACAGACTATCTGAGTGCAGGATTTTTCTGGAATGCAAGGTAGGCAGAGCCAAAGTAGCTTTTGCTTTATTTTTAATACCAGTGTAGTCATCAAACCTCAAAGGCTGTTTTTTGCCTTCTGTGGGAACTTGAGATGCATCCAATGATGCATCTTTAGTCATATTGGTGGGGTTTGGTGCTGTTAGTCAGCAGCCAGCCCTCAAAAGTGCTGCAGCCGAGGTCTTTTTGTGTAAACTTCGGTCTGGAAGGCTGAACTTTGAGGAAAGGGCAGAGACCATCGTCACAAAGTGAATTGGTTTTTACCCAACCCGGTCCTAAGTTGGACAGAGTGATGATGTCATCTTCTACTTGGTCTGTGGAGATCTTACACCTGGGCTCTACACATGGGAAATGCAGCTGAGAATCTTACAAATGGATTTATGCTGTGGGAAATGACGTTGTGGCCCACCATTGAATTCCACAGCATTTTCTGTGCCCCTTTGTGTAAAAGGGGAAAAGCAAAAGCCAGAAATCCACTAGTAAAATCAAAGAGAGAATGACTCAAAAGAGAAGTTCTTTTGAGATTTTTAATGATATTCAGTACGTGCCTGCTTATTTCTAAAGAGATTTGAGAGAGAGTGAGTTCAAAGTTTTATTTAATCTTATTTGGTGAAATATTAGTATATTTAAAACATGATGTACAGATGTTGTAGGAAGCACAGGCTTTGTAGGAATTATGTATACCCTAGGTAAAAGAAAAGTATCGCAGAAAATGAAGAGGCAAGGTAAGGCTGTGTCTGCTGAACAAACATTTATTATTCCCTGTAGATAACTTCTGAAAAAGGTATCTCTAAGAATTAGTGCCTTTACTGCTGTATGTGGTCTGGTTATTACTAGAGCAATACCTGGATCTGAAGGTAATTTCTCAAGAGCTATAGCTAATGTAATGAAAATCGTATTGATTTTAAGATTTGCAAGATGACCGGATTTCTGCAGTGATAGAAGTTATTCAGTTTAATTCAAGTAGACCTTGTTTTCTTAGCAATTAGTTGTTCAAACACTCGGTCTTGCACATTGTTTAACGTGAAGCTGGTCTACCAGTATCCCATGTCATCTCCCACGGACTAGAAGTCTAAGGCTGGCAGAGACCATCATCTCTACAATGCAGTTGGTGTTTCTCTGGGAGAAAACTGACTGTCAAACACACATACAAACAGTTCTGCTAGCTTGCCAAGCTTTGGCACAAACTGTAAAAACAGCAGCACTTGCCTGGCCTGAAGGAAGACAAAGCAAGCAAACTATTCAAATTGGTGCGAATGGATGACAACATGCATAGCGTGTGTAATCTGGAAAAGACATATAGTAAGGAAAAAGCTGCATTACATATTCAGTCTTTGCTTTGTGACGTTCCCTCTGCAGCACATGCAAATGCTGTCTTAGGAAATGAATAATAGCAGCAATGGAAATAGTGTAAGAAACCAACTAGAGTATATTCATGATTCTATAACCGCTAAAAGCTTATTGATGTGCGCAGTTCTGTTTTGCATCTAGTGTTGATATAATATATAATATATGATCTGTTTTGCATTGAGTGCTGATATAATTATTTACATTAGTATAAATGAAATGTACATTCGTTAGTTATCAATCCCGTTGAACTTTGTTCCTTTTTGTTGCTATTAACTCTTTAAATCGTAATAATGTCCAGAAGCTCAAGCCAGGAGCAAGAGCCACCTGCTCTAGAGATGTCAAAGCATGTTGACTTTTGTTGTACCTTCTGTATGTAGAAGTAATCTGTCTTGTGGTAATAAGCTCGAAGATCAGAGCTTAGGTCTGTGTGATCTGACTGCAAGACCCTTTTCAAAGTATTAGCAAGGTCCCTTGATGAGTTCAAGTCCACAGAATATGAAGCAAGCCAGGCAAGTCTGTGGCTTGAGATCTCACCACTAACACTGGAGTAAGCTTCTAGTATCTCTTCTGGGGAGTGGGAATTTACTGTCCAGTGGTGTGTCTCCAGAGCTGTTGGTAAAGCAGTGGTTTGACAATTCAGTAAATTTGAGTCTCTTCTCCTGAAGCCAATATAAAAAATACAAATGTGTCACAAATACTGTCACCTCACTAATTGGATGGAAATGCTCTCGTTTGCTTAATTTGGATTGCGTATCTGTGGCTGGGTGATCCAGGAGTGCACAGATCTGGAGTTAATGATTGTAGGTTGGCAGCTTTGCATTCCTGTGGTAGTTTTGGCAGGTCCTTGCCAGGAACCCATTGAAAGCATGGGGTTTTGCTTTATAATTTAACTTTTCAGCATGCAAGGGAGGCTTGTGAGTAAACACATAGAAAATGGATGATAGACTCTAGGTTTTTTGTTTGTATTGAGATTTTTTTTCCTTAAAGTGTGTGCAAGTACAAAAGAAAACAATGTATTTTCTAAATGCAAGACCCATTCTAGATCACACTTCCTTCTTAGAGTCTCTGGGGTTCCTACAGAATTCAGGATGAGCAAATATATTGCCTTTTAGGCTCCCACTGTGGGCAGATCCTACTCATTGCAAATTGCTACATGTGGCTAAAGAGCCTGCTACTCGGGTTTTGCTCTTTATGTGACAATTACAGCTCCTCTGTGGGAGGTATCCTCAATCCTTATTTTAGTGGGTCATCAGTCCTCCCTGCTGCGTTACTTCAGTGCTAAGGCAACTTCTTCCTTGGAGGAATTTGCCCTCCTCAGTAGAACCTGGGTAATTGTCCAGAATGACTGCAGTACCATCATATTATGCTTAAAATAAGATCCTCTGTTGCTGTCTTTCTCCTCCCATCCTTTGATGCCCAAGATCAGAAATAACAGAAAGGAAAGCAGAAAAAGTGAATGGCTGTGTAGGCAGAGTAGAGTACGCAGCCCCCATGTATGGTTAAAAGGATAGTTTATAACTTCATAAAAGGATTAATTCCCTGCATATATAAATAACAACTATATTTCTGATAATATATATTATAGAATAATTGCATATATTTTAGATCTAGAGCCAGTTTTTTATCTGCAGTGTAATTTTAGAGTAAGTCTATGGAGTCTGTGTTTTTGCTGATGTTTAACCAAAGTGAAAAGATTTGGGAATGCAGTGGGCACAATTGTGGTTAGAACACCACTTTACTTGGTGTCAGTGCTTTAATCAGCAAGCTCTGAGCTCTTTGACAGTTGAAAGCTGAGGGACAGCATTGATACAGCATTAGAATCTGCCACACAATATTAAATTCATTCAACTGTTATCCTTTTAATTGCTAGTATTTCCATTAATTGCTGTAGAAATTCATCACCCTGACCTGGCTGAGCTCCAAAAGAAAGTGTGGAAACTAATTAAACATTGAGTTTTAAGGTAAAGTAGTGAATTGCTCATTAGACCCCTTGAAATTCCGATTTATTACTAACAGAACGAAGTAATACTTTGCAGAAACTGGGTCATAGCGTTCTTTCTTAGTCTGACTGAAGGTGCTGTAGCTTAGACATTGATTAATTGGTCTTCATTTTTTTGCAGCAGTACACTTGTTTGGTTTAACCTGGCAACTACAGCCTGTTGAAGGGCAGCTCTATGAAAATGGAGTTAGCAAAGGAAATAAAGGAACAGAATCCATGGATACTACTTACTCGCCAATCGGAGGAAAAGTTTCTGATAAAACAGAAAAAAAAGGTATGTATGAATGAGGAGAGGGATGGGTTATGAATATTTAAAAATTATTACAGTTCAGATTCTGTATTTGCTACAGTTTGACAGTATTTTGAGTTCAGGTTCTGTTTTCTCTAGTATAATTTTAAAAGAGATATGAAAAACCCATACCCAGATCGTTTGTTTTAGCAGAACTCTCACTGAAATTAGCAGCCGACCCAAGCCATTAGGAAGGTAATGTTCAATAGCAAGATAATCACCCTTCTTTTGTGAGAGAAGAGAGATAAGAGCATTTGGCTTCTGTCTTAAGCCAGGGGAGGTGAGCCTGTGTTCTCCTTGTTGCCACGCGTGCAAAGGGCTTGATGCTGTGCCTGTCTCGCAGACCAAAGTCGGTCTTGGGCAAAGGAAAACCCTTCGTAGTGACAGGTGGGAGTACGCAGAGGGGTGGAAATGTTAATGCTTTTAAAGGCATCTCGTTCTTGAAGGCATACGCTAAAATACAGCATCCTGTCACATCCTGGCTTAGCCAGTCACAGTGAATCAGCTCACAGGAACCTACTGAGGTTTCCCAAAACTCCTGAGCCAGTCTGGCAGCTCCCTGCTGCCGGAGGACAGCCCAGCTCTGCCTCCGCTCTCTCCCTCTGCCCACCGCAGCGATTGCCTTGTGCACGACCAAGACCCGTCAGTTCTCTACGGCAGCAGAAAATGCCTTCATTTAAAAAATGCAAATAGTCTTTTGCCATGTGAGTGGCTGAACCGGCTCTTGTGAAGGGGCGGAGAAGTGCTGGAGCTGGCACAGGAAAGGAGTAGACCGTGCAGCAAGGCTGTGAAATGGAGAGCAGGACTGTCTCCAAGATGCGCAATTCCTTTCTCTCAAGTCCTGTCATTTAACGTTGTTAGATCGGCAACTCCAATATTAGTTAGAAACTCTGGCCCATGCTTCCCACTGACCACCATGGTGATGCTTTCTGACTGTAAGAAGCAGATGGCCCTCCCGTTTCTTTTTACGATACTCAGGAAAAGTGGATAAATCCAATTAGATCAGAGAAAAGTGCATGGGAGTAGAAGATGAACCCTAGTCTTTCCAGTTGTTAGGAGGAAGGTAAAATTGTACTGAGAGCTCTACAATGATAGGAGATTTCCAGAGCTTTCAAATTTCAGAGCAGAGCAGCGATGTGATTTTGTGCATGCTAGCCAAGATCTATGATTGTAAATATGAGACAAGGTGGGACATTGTTGTACCAGTCCCTCCAGAAGCAAGATTACATCTCACATCAATAGTCTTACAAATCAACGTGGCACAACTGGATAAAGATCATATTAGATAAATGGGCGATAGAAATCTATCTAAGGAGGCAATGATGTTGTTATCCATTTTTTTGTCCCTTAGAATGGATTGGTAGTGAATCACAGTAAATGTTTTATACACTTTTGTATTTTTGTCATGGTGCACCATGGAAAATAGCTCAAATAGTTCTTCTCAACTGCATTAAATCATTTTGTCAATATATTACAGATTTAATAAAAGCTCTTCCAAAGCATTTGGCTTCCAAAGGAGGATGTGCAGAAAAACAAGAAAAACATCAAACACATCAAAAATCTTAAAAATCAGATGCTTGAGAACTGAGAGAAGACTGTGTGAGTCAATAGAGACTCAATGTACTAGGTAGAAAACCAAACTCCCTGCCTTGCCCCAGGCAATCCCAATGTCTTGTGTAGCTACACAATTCCCCCGCAACACTAAAGCATGGGGGGCTGTGGTAGCAAAGCCATGTCACTGAGGGCTTATCCAGCAGATAAGCTGACCTTTCAGAGGTCAGACTTGACTATAGCTAGACTGTTGTCCCACTTTCACCTTTCATAATCCAAGGTGTATGCTAACAAGGAATGTATACACTTGGGAAAACAAGAAAAATCACGTCGGCTTCATACCAGACATTAGTACATTCACAGTCTGGCTGTGGCTAATTTCTGCTGGTCTTATTTCTCTCCATCACTTTTAATACATATCAGCAATTTCATTCCCAGTACTCATACCAAATTCTCCCTGTAGATGTGCTGGGAAGGAGGATTTGGAAACGGGCAGCTCCTTCACTACAGCAGGATACCAGAGAAAGTTGATACGTTGCCTGTAAACTTGAAGCCTCTGATGTGATTTCACAGGGATAAATAACCACTGTCAGATATTGTGACCTCCCATTTTCCCAACTCAAAGCAGCGGCAGCATAGAATGCTTTTCCAGACTTTGAAAGTGTATATTTTAACTAATCTTTTAATGAAAATCAAGTTTACAAACCAGCAAGTCAGATTTCTTTAAGAAGTCATTTTATAACACACTGACCCACGGCTATGAGTTAACATTTTAATATGTAGTAATGTGATTAAAAACTCAGACATCCTATTGATGCTGGTATTTACCAGGGGAGTGCAAGGAGATTGATTGTTTCAGGATCAGTAATAATCAGCGTATGGGTACTTTCTTGTGAAGATAATTGGCACCACGCTGTTCAGAGTTTTACTTTCTTGAAGCCAAAAAGAAACCTGTGATAAGGAATCTATATTCTGGTTTAGACTTGCAAGGAAAGTGTGCTTAGAAAGAATAGGGAAGAATTAATACCAGCTGGCAAGATTGGGAGCTGTACAAGGAATTGAGTATAGATAATTAAATGATACTGTGTCGTAAGAAAAATGTTATTATGAGGAAGGTGGGTTTAGAACAAGAGCAGAACTTGTATTGCAGCACTGTAATTTTAAAAGCTTATTTCGGACATTTTCAAGTAAGAGCAAGGAAGTATATGAGGATAGTCTGTGAATACTGTATTTTCAGATGCCTTTTTTGTACAGCCGAATACCTGCTTAGTTCAATTAAGCATAGAAACAGAGCTAAATTCTTTTTCTATAAAGAAAGCACAGTGGCTGAGCGAATATGCAAACATGCACTTCAGACATGGCTCTTACGGTGGCCTTTTCACGCTGTGTGTTGCTGAAAAAATACTTGGAAAGGTAGAGATGCTGCAACTGCACACTTTCATTAGGTGGTAGATAAAATACATATTTTCATGTTACCATTGTGAACAGCAGCATGCACTTCTTTCCTGTGCAATGAGATAAAAGTAAATCTAAGTGCATCTGGTTTTTTTAAGAATTACATAAAATAGTTACTAAAGCTAAGGCATTTTCAGCCAAACGTGGAAAAACTCAGAGCTATGCTGTCCTGAGCCTAGCAACACTAACGTGGTATTCAGCATAATTTGATAACATCAGTTAGTGAAAATACTCCCTGACTAAAGACGTAATGCTTTTTATTTTCAACAAAGAAACAGGCCTTCTCACTTCAACAAACTAAGAAGCAGTTACTGTATTTTAAAGGACCTTGAACACCGACCAATAATGCCATTAACTTCAAAAATGATACCGTATCCTTGACTTCTTACTTAGCGCTCTACCGTCTTGTAATTGAATCACATTAATTACCATGTGTCAATATCACCAAAAAGTTCCTTAGTGTTTTACTTAACCCAGGGTAATTGCTTGCAAAGAATCATTAAGATTTAATATCTCTGGAGTACTGGAAATAGGGGAAAACGTTTTTAAATTTACATCAGCCAAGTAGGATCTCATATGGGGTGGGAAGGGATCCGCTTTCATTGCCCGACACAGGAAGTTTAATTCTCTTTTCAAAACTCAACATTCAAGATTTTTTCTATGAAGCAAATTGGACAGAAGTCGTTTCACCTTGAACATTGTTCAAGCAGCAATTTGGAAATATTTTAACTCATGAACTAAGTAACTGGTGTATTTTTAGAGTATTAGATTACAAGTTCTGTGCTCTAAAAATAGATGCTCTCATGTGATAAGGTGTTAAAAGTCAGCTCCTAGTTCTTGCTGTAGGTTTGGTGACACAAAGCAGCCGTAAAGCTGGAAGATCCAGTACCCTGAGACTTGCTCCTGCCTTGTAAATTAGGTCTGTATTCATTAAGAACACTAAGTACTTCCTACACTAGTTAAAACCTATGTAAGATCCCACTGGGGATCTTTGTTGTTAATATGTTCAGGAAAAAGCTGGCCCTAGCTTTGCTACTGTTGTTTTCATTTCCAATGGCAATTTATAAAATTTCATGAGCGTTAGGTTGCATTAGATATTTATATGCATTATTGTGAATGGTGAGGCTCCGGTCGCTTTACTCCTCTTTATCCTTCGCTGTGATACTGGAATAAAATGAAGCATAAACAGATATGGCTGCTGAATTCATCCTTCTTCTCTTGGCTCTTGCTCCCATGCAGCATACTATCCTGCTTTTCTTTCCTAGTAGAGAAAAAAGTATGGAAAAATGAGGTAGAGTTTTGCAAAACTTCCAATGGAATGAGTTCAGATGTTAGCAGGGTTGGGTCTGTGATTTGCAGCATGTCAGGACGCTGATCACAGACAGGCATTAAAATACACAAAGATGTGATACAAGCCAGCAAAGCACGCCAGCTCCAATTTAGTTTGGCAATGACTTCCTTACGCATTCCATTTCCCTTTCTATTTCAGCGCTCTCATACCCACGTGTGAAGTTACATACTGTAGATGTCTGCAAATTTATTGTTAGGCATTACAAAATTATGCCAATTTTCTCTTTAGATTGCCTGTCCCTATCCTCATGCCCCTGTTACGCTTTCACATAGAAAGTCCAAGCCAAACCAGATGTTCTTTATTTCTCCAGGACTAGATTATCACTACCATAATAAAATCATTATGTTTGTGATTAATAGAAATCTAGGCTTTGGACATGGGCTCCAACCTACCAGGTTTGATGGATTTTCTGTCCTCGCTGGTGTCCATTTACGTGGCTGCCCCTTCGGCAGTAGTCTGAAATACGCGCCCGAGGAAGCTCTCCCACTGCCTTCTTTCTGTGCGTTCTCAGTTGAATGAGTTTTGTTTGCATACCTGATAGGTAAAGACCGTGGTTTATGCAGCACCGCTTCTACCTTTTTATATTCAGTGAAGTGTTCCAAGATTTCCAGGGCAAAAATGCTCTGCGACGCCTGTTGTTGTAAATATTGCATGCAAGTTTATTTGTATTTTTCAACTAGTTGAATAAAAAAATGCAGTGGTTTCAGTGAAATGCCCTCCGTTTAGAGGTTGTTTTCAATGTATTTCGATATATCTAAGGCACGTTTATACCTCATGACCTATTATCTTCACCCACCATGAGTACACAACTGATTGTTTTGTTTGTTTCTGGAAAATTAGTGCTTCAGAAGGGACGGGCCATAGACACAGGAGAAGTTGAGATCGGAGCACAGGTTATGCAGACGATCCCCCCTGGTTTATTCTGGCGCTTTCAGATTACTATACATCACCCCATGTACCTGAAATTTAACATTTCGCTGGCGAAGGATTCTCTGCTGGGAATTTATGGCAGAAGAAACATTCCACCTACTCACACTCAGGTAATTAGCAATAATACTAATTCTATCGTGCTTCTGTTTTCAAACCGCGGTGGATGCGAATGCTCACGATGCACTTTCAAAGCAGGGAGGGAGGAAGGGACTGGCTGTCACCACACAAAGCAGTCTGTTTCTCCCTTTCTTTTGCTGAGGTCTAGCTATGACCTCACCCCACGCTCCCTCAGAGGAAGGGACAGTGTCGTAGCAGAAAGGTCAGCAGTTGTGACCACCCCGGTGTGACCGTCCGGGCGGCTGGGCTGCTGGGTAGCTCCAGCATCTTCTTTGCGGGGGCAGTGGGATGAAGTACCAGATCATTTGAAAATGCTTTAATCTTTTTATGACTTCATGAAAACAAACAGGTTACATAGGATAAAGAGTTAATAGAAAGAAGAAGGAAAAAAAAAAAAAGCTGTTTCTGGTTTCTAATATGAAGACTATTTTTGAGTATTTACTCCTAGGGATTTTGCAGGAGAAAAATCTAGCTAAGCAGTAAGAATATGCAACATTGCTGGTCACGTTCAACAACTTTTTTTTAGGCTTAATCTATTTGGCATACGAAGCTGTCATTTCTATGGATAAGAGATTTTTTCAGCTTTCTTGTAGCAGGATCACACTCCATAGAGTGTGATAAACTTATATATGGAATCATGGAAAGATTGTTTAGAAGAGAGCTCTGGAGATCATCTAGTCTAACATCAAAAATTATTTACTAGAGTTTTAGTCTTAGAAATAAGGGCTTTTGGCTGTCACTGACTTTAATTGAAGCTGGGTCTTCAACTGAGGTAAAGTTGAACTGAAAATCAGAATGCCTAGAAAAGCCTAGAGAAATACATACATTTTTTGAACAGGGATTCATGGAAAGGTTTACATCTGTGATGTTTTGAGGTTAACTGGTTTTAAGGTTGTCAGTATCATCTTGGTTAGGTATTAAGAGCTTCCATGTAAAAAATAGATACTTATTTGCTTTAATACCATTAAATATAAATAAAAAGTATATTTAGGTTTTGATTTACGATATTGATATTAAGGGACAAACATTTAAAAATCTGCTATAAAACAATAGCTTCTTTAATCTGTTCTTGGCATTTGAGATGAATCTCTGCATAATGCAAGCACTACAGCTTGGGAATTTTGGAATCATTCCCATTAAAGAGAAGTAATTTTTGAAGTAAATCTGTTGTATTTAGTGCAGCAGGTCTGAACTTACCCTGCCATAGCAAACAGCAGGTTCTGATGCCAGGTTTCTGACCTACTGTAACGCTTTTTATATGGAACCTGAAGCTAAATGGACTAGGTTATGCAACTGCTGTCCACGTTGGTGAATACTTGGTCAATCAGGCAAGTCCTCCTAAGATTTCAACTGTTTATTCTTGTTCGAATGAGACGTGCAGAGTAGATTCATAAAAATTTGCTAGGTGGTTAATTTTTGCTCATTATTATTTCAGTTTGATTTTGTAAAACTGATGGATGGAAAACAGTTAATTAAACAGGAACCAAAAAACTCAGAGGAGCCTCAGCAAGCTCCCAGGAACCTGATCTTAACTTCACTGCAAGAGACAGGTTTCATTGAGTATATGGATCAAGGAGCTTGGCATATGGCATTCTACAATGATGGAAAGAAGGTGGAGCAAGTGTTTGTACTAACTACAGCGATTGGTAAGAACAATGACAATAAAATTGTTACTCAGATTACTACATTGGAAAGCTGTATTTGAAAAGAAGTTATTGACCTTGATTCCAGCTTAAGTATTCTCTTAAATATGTTTTATTTCAGCTTAATTTAATTAACCGCAGTGGAGAAACTTCATGTTTATGCCAATATTGGACAACTAGCAACAGTTGTGTATTAAAGATGGATGTTATCAAATTAATTAAGTGTGAAGTTTTCGTGCATGTGTGTGTTAAGATTTTTATACAATAGTTTAAATGCTTGAGTAATTTCTGGTGTTATCTTGCTCAAAGTATAAGAGATTATGTCTGCCCTCTCTATTTACATGGGAACCATAAATTCTACAAAAATTATCCAGGCTTTAAGTTTTTATTTCCAATATTTTGGTCAGTTAGAAAAATCTAAAAGGCAGCTTTTGTGGATTTGGTTGTGATTGTTGTTTGATGGATGGATGCTGTTGTTTTATGCAATTATTCAAATGTACCATTTTGTTTGGAACACAGAAGGCAAATATAGGAGACATTGTCCTGGTGGTATATCAAATCCCTGCTGCTTTTTTAATACATATAGGTGGACAACTGTTTGCAACTGTAGGTGTTGTTAGTGAGCAGTGCTCACACATAGGGTTTCTTTGGAATTTAAATTTAGGTAAAGTGTTGTATTTATGACAGTCTCGGTTTGCTGCAAGACTTTAACCACTATGCCCTTTAGTTAACCTGTTCTACCATATGTTTAGCAAGATGTCTTTACTAGTAATGGACATGCCATCTGCTCTTTAGAACAATTGGATGCTATTTTTGTTTGATGGCAAACACCTTGCAGAGCAGGACAGTATGATTCAAATACCAAGATTTTGAAGGACTTGCAGGAAAACCCATGAAAAATTGAGATAGAATTGTAATGACTGGGTTTTGTTTAAAAGTTCATATTTGCTCTGTTTGGAAACGTGAATCTTTTATGAGCAAGAAAAAATGCCATTATTCAATGCCATATGAGAAAACAATATTCAAGCAATTTCTGAAGCATCTTCTCAGATGCTCTGTGAAGAGCATAAAACCTGGCCAAACTCCAGTCCAGATCAGAATCCAAATACCTGCTCCCTTCTTTATTTCTGGTGTAAGACAGCAGTGTTTATACAGGAGGGTTTAACCAATATTTCATCGTTAAGTAGCATACCGTCTCAAAAAAAAAAAAAAAAAAAATGGAATGGAATGGAATGGAATGCTGCACTTTGGTTCTTGTTACATTTGGTGACAAAGAAGTTGTCCATCCCTGCTCTGGCCAATGATCAGAACAGACTGAGTCAGAGGGGAGCAGTGAGAGCCACAGTGCAGCCAGGAATCCTTATACTTCATCTCAGAAATGGCTTCAAGAAGACATTTTGGGGAAAAAGAGGGTTCATGCTGCAAGAATCTATTGCTGATGCAGTAGCAAATAGTGCTAGCTATTGCGTTTTTCATAACCTGTCTATCTTCTTCTTATACTTTTCTTTGCATAATGGTTCTTGGTTGTTTCTTTGGGGGTTTCCACACAAAAAAAATAAAAAAAATAAAAACCACCAAAAACAAAACACCACAAAACCCTTGAGCTATACTCCTTACCCCAGACTGGGCTGGAGTCATATTTGACATCTCTGCTGACAAAGGAATCAACCAGGACCACAGATTGAAACTCCTAGAATAGAGCAAGAGCTTGGATGCATCTCTGCTGTATGCTACTGTGGGCTGTGTGAAGCTGTCATGCCCTCCTCGTGAGCATCCCTTAGGTAGCGTTTCAAGTTGCTCAATGTTAGTTATGTACAAAATTGATTTCGCTGACACTTTAGCTAAAGGTCTGATCAGACTTTCCCTTGAGGGGGGTAATTTGCATGCAAAATCTGGCATGCCTCAAGTCCTTTCATGGGCTGAATAAAGGCCAGCCCAAACTGGACATTGCATTGATGGGGAGTAACTTTTCAAACTGTTAATTCTTCATTTCAGATCAATGTAGGGATCATTTACGGCGTGATTCTGGAAAACTGAGAAGACAGGCAAATGTACCCATGGAGCAGGGCAAGACTTCATAATGATCAGTAATACATAAAAATTAATAACAATCAGCATATCTGTGAAAAACCTTACATCTGAAAGTGAGCTGGTTTTTTGACTTTGAAAGAGACATCCATGTACAGGCTGTGGATATCTGATTAACAGATACATATCAAATACCTATTCTTTGGTATAAACTGATAGCCAAAAAGGAATGTTTTTAAATAACAGTAGGAGCTTTCAAGAGGAACCAATCCTTATCTGTCCCAGTGTCTGTAAATAAGATCAAAATAAACTTATTTCATTTATTCATATTAGTTGTAGGATGTGCTTATAATACATCTTTTGACAAGTTACATGTGAGCTAAAAAGTATATCAGATTTGCTTAGATTAAATATTCCAATGGTATGCCCTTTCATGAGAGAAGTTTTTCCTCCCAGCTCACTTGCCATGGACAGCTTCAAAAAGATTTGGGGTTTCTTCTTTTTCCTCCTACAGTTATTTTGTGGGAAAGCAGTCATGTTTCCCATCTTCCTATAGCCAGAGGTACATCCCCACGTCTGGCAGCGCACGTGCCCATACAACAGTTGGGGTTCCCACTGGTCTGTAGCCCCTCTCCCGCCCTGCACAGAACCTGCGCGGGCTGCAGACCCTCAGTCCTAGTGCTGGCCTCGCGGTCACCTGCTCTGCATGGGAGCATCTTAGCCTTGGATTTGCTTCGTATTCTTTACGTAAAATCCATATAAATCTGTGAATCCACTGAATTCCTGTAGGAAATACATGTGTAAATTAAAAACAGCTAATCCATGTACAGATGTGAGCCTGTCCCCAGACGTGTGAGGTTAAGTGGTTTACTATCCAAAGCTGTGTGATGAAACATGGGCAAGTTTAAGATCAGAATTGAAGGTGGGTTTTTTTCCTTGAAATCTAGTTCATAGTCTTTTATTGCATTGAGTTTCATCACCGTACAAAAGACTTTTTTTTTTTTTCTCCATCTGATTGTATAGAAGTGGAAATCCTACCCTCCTCCAAGGAATTCAATTCACATGGTTCAAATGAACACCATAGAAGGCAATTTACTCTATAAACAGGTTTCAAACAAATTACTTTAGCAATAAAAGAGTTTAAGGTGGACATTTTTCAGCAAATACTCTGGTTCTTGCAGTGCTTTTAATGGTGGTAAATTTTACATGAACACTTACTTTAAAAGCTTTTTGGTGTAATATAAATGATGCACTTGTTATCTCGAAGCTGTCAAGACAAAATCTAATATTTGTAAGCTGCTTGAACAGGAATTTTGTTTTATGCTCCCTATGAATGAAAATGGGCCTTTTACTGCTTCTGCACCTATTTGTATGTTGAGATGTGTCCTGCAGTGTGGTGAAGATGCCATTCATTTCAAATTCAACCAATTTGTTTTTTTCTTTGTGCACAACTCTCTGAATAAACAGAAATCCTGGATGACTGCTCTACTAATTGCAATGGGAATGGAGAATGTATCTCGGGGCACTGCCACTGTTTCCCAGGATTCCTCGGTCCTGATTGTGCAAAAGGTAATCTCATATTAACTGACCCACAGTGCATGGCAGGGCTCATGATTATGGTGTCTGTCTGCTGGCCTTGCAAAGATTCAAAGTGATTAAAGGAGATTAAATTCCTTTTTCCAGCCAGATGGCAGATACAACACGAGCACACACGTAGAAAGTTTCTTTGCGCTGTATTCGAGCTAAGATGCATCAACCACTTCTCTCTCCCTCTTTGAGAGTTATAGATTCCTCCATCCCTCTTTGCATGATTATGAAATACAGTTTTTAATAAGTGTGTTAGCTTAGCAGAATGTTTTCTGTTAGTGGCAAACGGTTTCACTTTGGAGAAGGTTGCATGAGTCGGTCAAATGCTTCTGTGGTCTTAACTTGAACAGAGTGTAGAAGAGAAACCTGAAGCAACTTAGAGACTGTTTCCCAGCATTTGGGACAAAACACATGCTAAAATGATTGTACATGACCTTATTTCTGTTTCAGATATTTCTGTCGGTATTATCCATCATCTACTGCATATGATGTCTGGAAATTCTCATGTTTTTCCAATGTTTCCTCAAATTTAGGATTGGCTTTATTTTTTAAGAGCTTGATTGGCTCAGAAATTGATACTGGATTGTAAAATTAAGCTTCCACATCGCTGGTTTACATGCAGATCAGCAATGGCTAAAACTTCTGTAGTGTTAAATCTACTTAGAAGAAAGAAGAGAGCAGGATCTTGCTTCAGTTCACAGGGAAGAAATATTAATCTTACTGAAAATCATAAGCAGGCTTCACTCTGCATATTTTCTGCAGAGGCCAATAAAGGAGAGAGAATTATTTTTATCTTCTGAGATATCCCATTTCGGGTCAAAATTAAGGTGTACTAGTGAAGCAGACTGAGGAGAAGAGGGCATTGTATTACTGTTGCACTACCTAGTTCAAAGATTTCAGTCTGTCACAACCCTTGAATCAACTGGAGGATCGGGGGGCTGCAGTGGAAAAGCAATTTTACAGAACGATAAATGCAATATATGTTAATCTATGTAAGTGTGTAAATCCATTAAAAAGGTCAATCTGCCTTCTTCAGATTCCTGTCCAGTGCTGTGCAGCGGAAATGGAGAATATGAGAAAGGTCACTGTGTGTGTCGAAATGGGTGGAAAGGACCAGAGTGTGATGTTCCAGAAGAACAGTGTATTGATCCGACCTGCTTTGGCCATGGCACTTGTATCATGGGCGTCTGCATCTGTGTCCCTGGCTACAAAGGAGAGATTTGCGAGGAAGGTTTGTGAAGTTTCCCTCTCTGTAGTTAGAGGATTTGATTTTTGTCTTTAATCTCCAAACCTGCTTTAAGGTAGTTAAGAACTCATGTGGATGTGCGGAGCTTACTGTGAAGCAGTACTGTTTTGCTCGGAAGCACCTTTGCTGTCTCATAGAAAGTTATGTTGAGAAGGTTACCAAAGGTCAAGGCCTTCAGGTCTCGGTGCCAGTCAGTGGAAGCTGATCACGTAATTTCCAAGATTCGCATTTTTGTTCTAAAAGATTAAAGTTGTTTAATGTTGTCTAATAATACTGTCTAGTAATTGTAGCGTGGGTGGTCCCCTGAAACACTCAGTTTCTCTTTCAGTCCAGGAGAACTCTAGTTCTCGGATGATTTCAGTTCGCTCCCTCCATTGAATCTCAGTAGCAAGAACAGAACCGGGTGGAGGTTTTGCCTTTCAGCAAGCAGTGTATCCTCAGTCCTCCAAAAGGTTCCTGTAAAACATCCCAGCAAGCAAGGATTCCTTTTTTTGTGTGTGTGAAAGTTGTGAGACCATCTTTGTTTGTCTCCACTTTTCTTCTCTCGGGCTCCAGATACATTTTTCAGGAAGGGTGGCTGGCGTCCCCAGTCCTCCCTGCTGCCAGTAACCTCAGTCCCTCGGCACACCCTCGGCTGTCAGAGAGCCCGTGCAGACTTTTTTACTTGGCCAAAAGCTATGGGTAAGAGAGTCAGAAAATCCCTTAAGCAAAATACGATGTGGTGGTTCTCCAAAGTAATCAGCAGAGCATAATCAGCTTTTCCCTTTCTTCACTCTGTTGCATCTTAGATTTTTCTGCGAAGAATGTACTGACTATATAAAGCCAAAAGAGCAGCAAACAGTTCCCGTTTACCAGACCATATTGTGTAATTCTGTTGTCATATGTCATTTTTACTGTGAGCCTGTGTTCAGGGTACTAAACTGGCATCCTTTAAGGCTTGGCTAATAAAAAGCGGGAAATGCTGAGAACAAGTAATTGTGCTTCTTCTGGTTGTCGTACGGCTGTGTCTCTGCCCTCATCTGTAGGAAGAAGCAGTTGTTGTTTGCCTCTTAGCATTTCTGAGATAGCTCATCAGCTTTGACTTTCTTCCCCTGTGCAGAGCCTCGGAAAGCAGAACTCTTCTTCATGCTTGCCCTGGTTTGATGATTTTTCACTAGTCCCCTTAGCCTGAAGCTAGTGACAGCATACTTTGTGCTTCCTGCTATATAGATTTTAGGTAATTCTTTTGAGTAGCACACAGAGGTTTTTTATGTGGCTTGAATTCTCTAGTCAGAAAAATGTCCAGGATGGATTTGATGGATTTGACATACCTGGTACGGTTCTTAAAGGGAGGATCAAGAGAATGCTTCTGACATGCTCCGTTGTTGGTAGTTTCAGAAACGGACAAAAACAAGAAAACCCAAATGGGAGAAAGCAAGTAATACACAGATTTACTCACTGAGGCCATGATGCCGAACAAGCTGGTGAGAGGCTGGCTGCTCTTCCCAGTGCTTGCTTTCTTGCCATAACATGATCCTGCAAAATGGTTGAAAAAAGTAATTGAGCTAAATGTATTCAGCCAGCTATTGAAACTAAGAGTGTGAAAACATTGGATTTTTAAAGTGAGAGACATATTTCAATTTTTTTAAAAAAGGTGAAATTATCTAGAAATAGGATTGATGAAACAAACCTGTGCAACCAAGTACAGTGGGATTTTATTGTAGCAGTGTGTGCACGGCATGACTGTTCAGTTCACCGTACCGTACAACATAATTTGTACAGCAGCGGAAGTAATTCTGTCAGGAATTCAGATTACATTATTGTATGTAAATATGAGTTTAGTATTATAGCAGCATTGTTAACGTAGCAGACATACTAAGAGCTGTGCTATCCAGGGAACACCGGTAGCTACGTGTATTCAATGCTATGGGAGTCCTTTGGATTTGTCCCATCACGTTATCATTACTAAAGCAAGTGATGCTTTTTAAACTGTTTATGGAGTCAATTAATTTTAAAAGATCAGCAAAATAAAGAGCTGTCTCAGGATGAGAGAAAATTGCCAAGTATTTTTGTCTTATGCTTAGCAAGATATGCGTTGTCCTGCTTCCTCTCTTCCAGAATTACATTGTGCTGTGCACAAGCCTGGAAGGCTGAAAAAGATACAAAATAAAACTTGAAATAATGTGTTGAATTGATGGCACAGCAGCTCAAAAGATAAAGCATCACTTCTTTATTCTTAGGTCAAAAGATCCTATAAACTGGAGGCCGTTAATCTCTACGTCTGAAGTATTTAGTCTTCCTTTACTGAAGCAGAGAGCATCTCTTCATTTGTGTAGCACAGAATACTGTTTACGTTTACAATTTAATTATTAAAAACAGTACTTGTGCCAATGATTGAAAAATACATACAAGAACTTTCAAAGTGCCTCTTTAACATCAGTCTGAAGCATGATCCAGCATGAACAGGCTTGTGGCTAATTGTTTCGCATGCTCGGACCCCACAAATGCAGCCTTCCTGCAGCCTCCAGAGATCGCGGGCTGTGTTCTGCTTCAGATCTGTCTTGTTAAAGAAATGCTGGGGCTTCATGAAGGAATATGCTGATTATACAGGACTAACCAGCTGATTTAAATTCTTCTACAGAGCTCCTGAATTTTTCACTAGGAATAGTTTAATCCAAATTGAGAACAAATTTAGCTCTTTGTCTGTTTGCAAATTGTTCATCAGTATGTTATGACTTTTATGAATCTGTTCATTATCTGCAATTGCCCAGCACATACTTTTTATGAGAGTATGAGATTTTTTTACAGCAAGCATTCAGTCAGAGATTCACTACTCAGGGTTAGTGGATGACCATTTTTTTAATATCAAATTTTCAGCTGTAGAGATAGCTTTCCACAAGAAGATGAAAGAATAAATCTTTCTTTTCCCTGATGTAAATAAAACACAGTGCACAAATACCCAAATGGAAACGCAGTGCACAATTGTAGAAGTAATTATTAATTGTTCCAGTTCTTTCCCAGCCCTGCTACCGAAGCACAAACTTGGGCTGATAGATTTGTGTTGGGAATCTGCATTTTAAAAACAAGACAATGTCCTTGACAAGCAGAATCATATGATCTCTAACACTCTACATGCTTGCTTTTTTTCTTGTTTTTGGCTTATACTTTTGCACAGATGTTAGCGTAGACTGGTTGTTTTTTTTTCCTTGTGTTAGTTAACATCGTTTCAGTTTGGGTATTTGCACAAAAATCACCCGATTAATCTGAATCCCTGATGTCGTATTGCACGAGGAAGCCACTGTAGAGGTGCAAGTTGTATGCTCTAAGTTGTATATTCCCTGCTTTCCAGAGGACTGCTTGGATCCGATGTGCTCTGGCCACGGTGTGTGCGTTCAAGGGGAGTGTCACTGCTCCACGGGCTGGGGCGGCGTGAACTGTGAGACGTCGCTTCCCGTGTGCCAGGAGCAGTGCTCGGGGCATGGGACTTTCCTCCTGGACACGGGACTCTGCAGCTGTGAACCGCAGTGGACGGGTTCAGACTGTTCCACAGGTATGCTGGAGATTTTATTTTTTCAGTAATGCTTATGCTTTCTGTTTGACTCGTGAAAGAAAGTGGTTGCTATTACTGTGCTAGTATGAATTTAAAAAAAACAAGATAGGGATGAACCTGGGGTGCTGTGGCATGGCACTTAATGGGCCTGTCAGCACCTGGCTTTCTGGTGACAAGGACAGAAAGGCTTTTTCTCTGTGACAAGAATGTTGACTGCCTGATGGCGTGCCAGCGAGGACAGTAGTCCTGCAAGGATGGAAGTGCCTCCCGGCGTGGATTGGAGTTAAGCATGACTCTCGCATGAGATGTTGAGCACTTAATCAGGCTCGTGCAATGAGAGAATCCACAACTTTGAGAGAGAGTAGGAGGATATAAAAAAAAAATGGTCTCAATGCAGTGACTGATGAGGAAGAAGGCTCTGTCAAAAAATCTTTAAACAAAAATGACCATCCATTCTCTCATGCTGGGATAAAAACTCTTTTCTTTCTTAGAGGACCATCAAGGTTTGATCCCACTGAATTTGATTAAGACTTGAAATGGATTTCCTATGTGCTTTGTACATTTACGTTTCATTTTCTTGAAATAAATGCACTCTGGACATTTTACTCCGTAATGGAGCATGTCATTACCGATGTACGTGCTACTATTTTTTTCCCCTATAAAGCTCACAAAACCAGAATCTCAGATGATAAGTAGCGCATCCCAGTACAGAATAGATCCAAATGACAGATTTGCTGAATACTGTGAAATACAACCAGTCATCCAAGTCACCAATTTTTCTTAGAAATCATCATTCAAAAGAACACTTGGAACAGTATAAATTTCCATTCAGACCTTTAAAGTGTACGGTTATTGTGATCTTCAAGTTGGGGCTTATGAAATCCCATTCCCTGATAACTTTTTAAGCAACAAAATACTGACCTGCTAATGATTTTCAGTGTTTCTTACGAAGACCCTGCATTCATTCTACACTCCAAAGCTAGTGCATATAATTTCAGTCCGACACTGTCGGATATGGTACCTGCTTTGATAAGAATTGACTTTTTATTGGCTTTCAGCAAAAGCCTGGTTGCTGGCACTTTTATCATGTGTTTTATTATGTGTTAAAAATATTCCCTGAAGGTTAGTAATATCGTAGTACTTCCATTAATGAAGCAAATAATCAGGAAAGATGCTAGCTATGTACTAATTTCTTTACTCACAAAATATGCAAACTAATTCTGTTCTAATACAATGCTATTGTAGCTCAAAAAGAGATGTTAATCTCCAATAGGTCCGTTGTGTCAGCTGCATGGGGCGATTAGATACTAAGTAAGGGAACAAAGAGCTAATAAATAACTGCAGTGAAGAGGCTTTTATCTTGTGTGCTAGGAACATCGTTTTCATGTTTGCCTCACCTCCAAAGCTGTTTTGATTAATTTTTAGAAGAAAAGTACTTTTTTCCTTACCTCCATCAACCAGTAGGGAAAATACCCCTCTTCATCCCTACTGTCCTCTGAGTTATCAAAGAATGCTTTTACAGCCACCAACAGGTATCCCTCCTTATAGCTAGATACTTAGAATTCTTCTTTCAAATGTGTCTTCATAGGTGTCAGACTAGATTCAGGATTGTTGTGGCAAAACAGTGAGTGTTAGACTGAAGTATAGATGTTCATTTGAGCTTGAGACTTTCTTCCTAGGATCAGTGATTGCCGTGCATGCTGGAAGTAAAGCTGGGTTTAGTGAGGAAGGAAAACATCAGATGAGTACATCAACAAGGTCAGAATAAACGAGCTGTCATGTGCAAATGAAAAAAATCATGACATTCTGTATAATTAAGAGGATGAAAAGGGTAAACCACAGGCTGCTCATCTGGAATCAGACAACAAGGAAAGCTTTGTAACTGGTAGACGAGCGGTCTCGCAGCCTGCCTCAAACCCTTGCAGTTTCCCCGCCATCTCTGTACCACGTCATTGTCGCTACTCTGAAAATTTGCCTTTCTGTATCACCTTGAAGAATATAGGCTCCTGTCCTGATGATTTCTGCATTCCCCAGCAAATTCCAAATACTTTCAAAATAAAAGGATAAATTATTTTAAGTTTTATGTTTTTTCTAAATAGGAATTAATATATTTTGCTGTAATTTAAAAAGGAGAAATAACAAAGGTGCCAGAATGTTTTTGAGTGCGTTATCCCAGATACACTGTGGCACACCTAAAGAGGGATGAGGCATCTCTATGATACCTCCACTACCTGCCCATCTCTAACTCTTCAAGCAATAAGAAATACCATTTTGCAATTGGCAGACTGGGGAAAGACAGAAATCAGTGTGGACATGGAGGAACAGAGGTGAAAGGTGAGTGTGTGACCCATGCATATCCTGAAGGATTGCCAACATTTGGAGCCCCAGCCTGAGATCCGGAATCATTCATAGATTTTTGAGGCTAGAAAATACTGTGGTATTCATGCTGTCTGATTTTCTGCAGGACATGTACCAAAAAAAAAAAAAAAAAAGCATTCTTCAGTTTCTGCTTGACACTCATAATTTCTGTTTAGTTTTTAGAAATTCAACCTTCTCACAAAGACTGAAAGTGAAGGATAGTCTACCATGTCCTTAGGTAAACTGTTCAATTATGTGTGACCCTCTCTGCTAAAAAGTACACCTACTCCCAGTTTGAGTAGGTGAAAAGTCTTACAATTGTGTTTCTTTCTGTGAAGTGAGAGACTGTCAGATTCTTTTTCAAATTCATTACATTCTTTGTCCTTAATGTTTATAAAAAGAGCCAATATTTTAAATTCATTTGCTTCTCGTAAGGCTACATACACACACCCCTCTCTCTACCACTCCCTCTTTCTTTCTCTCTCTCTCTCCCTATCTCTATCTTCACCTCCACGAGAAGAATAATGCAAGAAAAAAAGTTATGTATTTCTTAGGGTTTGGGTAGGCCTTTTGGGAAGCCTGACTGACCACATAAAGTATGCGTTTTTCTTTTCCTATTGCTTCATTAAAAAATTACATTGAGGGAACACTGAAATTTCAAGCTTAAATATCCAAAGGTCAAAGAAAGACAAAAGAAGATATGTACATGTTAACTAAGTCATCTTTCCTGTGTTTCTTATGAAACAGGATTCGTTTTTCACACTTAAAGAAATGACATTTTGCTAAGGATGTATGATCTGATCATTCAAGCAGTTACTTGCTCTTGGATATACTTGCTCTTCTGCACAGTTGCTGTACTAAAGACAATGTCTTTTTCTAATCTACCAGACTGTTCAGCTCAGATTCTACATAAAATTGCATGTTGAGAGCGTTTGGATACAACAAACGCTGAACTGTGACATGATTGAATTAATTGGTTGGTAAGAAGTGGCTAGTTTAAAAAAGGTGAAATGTGTATATAGTTTATATGTAAATACTTGAGGGAGCACATGCACAAAAGCACAGAGTAATGGAGTGAATTGGATTTATTTCTAGTCTTTGCTCTCATGGGGCACGGTTTCTAAAGGGACTGTCAAAATGGAGAGGCCATAGCTGTGATCCACCTAAATATTGCAGAGTCCATCTTGGAGGCTTCCATGCAGGGATATGAATTCTGGTGTTGTCCCCTTTATTGGGTCAACAGCTGAATGTCTCAGATTGTCCATTGAACTTTTGCAATGCTTTTTCTGAAGAGCTCTTCCTTTTTCTTTAGGCCTTATATAAGTTCTTAAGGCATTAATTTATTCAATAGAATAGAATAATTCAACAGACAACATCTATACTACAAAGGCTGGTATAACTAGGGCAGCCCTAGTTTGTGATCAGAGTTGAGAATTGCTCTTCTATCCAAAAAATAACTCCAATGTTAGAGATGTTTCTTATGCTATGGCTGTGGAGAGAAGTTGTGTGGCACTGAATTAACTACTGTATAACCAGCCCAGAGTCCATCTGACTTACTGCTCTAGTTAAACTGTCCTGCATGACCTATCAGCTTGAGCATCTTTTATGTATGAGGATTAATTGGCAATCGGGCACCTTTGTGGCATTGCTGCAAAGCATACGGTTAACAGCTATGAGCTGGGGAGAGCAGATGCTTACTGCCAAAATCATTGACTTCCTCTCCTGATGTGGCCATTACACTAGCTTCTAGCCAAGAAAGTGGTAATTCGGAGGTACTTCAAGATCTTGTTGTTATCCTCAGAGGCCTGAGGTTCAGTTCCTTCTCCAGTATAGCATAGACCTGCTCACTTTCTTTGCAGTGCTTTGATACCCAAAGTATTTCCAAGACCAAAAGAAACAGAGCCACAACACTGTTACAGTTCCACACTGTCCAAGTCAGTTTTGGCTAGTCAACTTAATACAGATGTCCAGCATAGTCTCTGCTCTGACCTGTGGACTGCCAAAAACCAATCCCACTGCACTACCTCCAGATACTCCTTCTAGATCGAAAGTTCTTGGTGGCCAATTGCCATCCCTTGAGGTCCAGAAAATCCTCTCACAGAACTCCAAAACAGCTGTCAGGATATCTTCATCGTGTTTGAATTGGTTCTCAATAAGACCAGCTCAGTATGGCTTGAAAGGTGTTCAGATATTTAGTATATTGCTAATCCTGCACTACTTGTAGGACACTGCCTATGTTGGCTTTTTATTCAGCTCTGTTAAGATCCGTCCTTTCAATATTCTTAGCTGGATATCTGTAACAGACATATTTGGCCTCTTTCTACCCTACAATATTGAACATCCATGAAAAGCCATCTTCTTTCCTTAGCTCAGACTTCAATTTGCCTATCCCAAAGATGACATGGTTTTCATTCAGGCTTTGCCTTGCTACTTATGCGCCTATTTGTAAAAGGCTCTTCCTGTCAGCTAACATTCAAACAGAAAGATAATATGCTTCTGATTCTTTTGCCTTCTTTAGGCAACACCAACCCCATTTCACTCTGAAAATGCTGACAGATCTTTAGCAACACCAATCAAAACAACATTGATAGGTATCCTTTCTACAGCCATACGTGACATCAGGAGGAAAAAAAATCACTTAC